ACTCCGAGATATTTGGTACAAGGTACCAAGGCTGATTTCTACCAGAGACACAAAACTGCAACTACGCATTGGTCGAAATCACACCGGCCCCAAAGTCGTTTCCCTTAATCGTTATTCCAAGCTTGCGTTATTCCAGAGTTCTCTAACATCTAACCTCTCCCTCATGTCCTTGAGCTCCCGGGTCCGTAATGATATCACTAGAAAAATACGTTGATTCCCCGTGCCATTCTTGTAACGGAACTAGTGTTTCCAGCTACATGGCTTGTCAGTACTAGGACCTGCTGTACTGATGCTCAAAACTAGGACTGCCAATTTTTACCAATTCGTGTAATAAACTTGCAGTGCTAAAACTAAAAACTATTAAAATTAAACAGACACCTGTGCGATCCCGTGGCCTCCACAAGGAATGCTGGCCTCGTCACTTGCACAGCAGCAGCTCGTCGTATCACCCGTACACGAGCACCCCGTGTCACTATGTTGCAGTACGCGGTCCACAACGAGCCTCTTCATGCTGTCGTGGGAATGAAACAAGCTCCGGAAGAAGTCATCTTGTTGTTTCTGAGAGACCTTGTGCGGGTACATGTGCAGCTTGGCCATCAAATATCTCTTCATCACGACGAATCTCTTGCTGTCTGCATCTTCGTGCGCTGTGAGCACCACACCGCTCGACATATCCTTCCGAATGCGATTCAACTCGTCGTATGGATGTAGTTCATCGTGGTCGACGTAGTCAGTAGCTAGCACTGCTAACTTGTCTCCAAACCGACAGTAAAAAACGCCATTCGACTCCATGTCGGGCATTCTACTGTCGATTTTCCGTCTTGCAATAATACGCTGGTGCATGAAGTTGCACTTGAGCGTACCAGTTGACTGCAATAACATAAAATTAAAGTTAACTATTCGCTATAAAAAAATTAAAAAAAATCACTCACCTCGCGCGACGCAGTGATTCCTAGCGCTTCATTCAGCGCTTCGTCTTTTTCTGTGAGTTGATTGTAGATGCCGCGTGCTACTTGGTAGATGCTGACTCCGTCGTATCTGGAGATGGTGAAATTCACACAGTAATGTTTGCCAAATTTGTCGAACATGTCCGAGAATTCGTGAGGGTGGGAGCAGTCCATCCCTAGTGTCTTGTGCTCAATGAACTTGTACGTCATGTCCAGTTTTTCCTTGCGTAGCGACAGAATCGTCTTTCTCCGCTCGTCTAGGTCGTTCCCAAGACGAATATACGACTCCAAGGGCGTCATCAGTGACATTCGCTGCTCACAGACAGCACAACTTACTTAGTCTACCATTATTACACTAGAAATACCCATTTTCAGCTCACCAGGTCGTTCACCGGTGCAAAAGCCAATAAGGCCTTAAAATTGTCCGCATACATTTTCTGCTGCATGGCGAGGCCGTTCAAAAGCTGATTGTTCTCCTGACTTTCGAGCAACATCTTCAACTCTGTCGTGATGTTTCGTCTTTTCTTGACATTTGGGCGTCGTGGCGTCTCTTTCTTCTCTTTAAATTCCAAAAATTCCTTCTGCGCCGTCAAATATTTCATCTCTCTTTTCAACAATTCTGTCTCCTCGTCTTCTTGAGGACAGTCGCTATTATCAGAATATTCATCTGATTCGACCGGTGATGACGAATCACAGGGCGTCAGTCTCAACGGAGACACTGGAAGTGGAGTCAACTGCTGTACAGCCAGCGGACTCTCCAGCTCCTCGTCGGTATGACACGACGCAGACGGAGAATCGGGCAGCGCGTCGAGCCACGAGGTGGCGCGTGGACTTAAAGGCAGCATCATGTCCAGGTCTGGTAGAGTGATTGCATCATCATGTTGCTCCATGTCCTTTAGAAATAGCTCGTCTCCCAGTAGAAATTCATTCAATTTCGGAGACTGCGCAGGATCAGAAGCGGTAGAGTTCGTGTCGTCGCTCATAAGGCAGTCTGCGAGTATTTCTCGCTCTAAAGAGGAGAGCGTAGATGTCGGTGACATAATTTTGCTGCTGGGGACGTCGTCGTCCACGTCCAGGAGCTGCAACATGTCGTAGTCGCGCACCAAGTCGGCAGGAAGCTCCACACCCATTGTCAAATTCAATTATGAGACAAAGACAGATAATCTTATTGGTGCATTATTACGACAAAGTGCTCTAATTGGTCGAAATAAAATAAAAAGTCGAAGTAAGTGAATAAAGTACTTCGAAGAAAATACAAAAAAAACGAGAATAGAGGTTTTATTCGTCAAAGTAATCGCTTGTCAGCGCTGTCATGAGCCATGCAAACATCTCATCACACGGTGAGTAAGGAGCGCTTTTCAGCAGCTGCCACGTTATTACCGGTAGTCATTCACTCCAGGTAACCAGCTCGTCCCCCTTGGCTCGGCTTCAGCGGGGGACCATGACGTAGACCGATGTGCGAGAAGAAGAAAAAAAAAAGCCGAAGAAAGCGGCAATGGCAGAGGCTCAGCTGTCTGCCTGTAAGTCTCCGGAGTGTCACGCTTAGCTTATAAGCCTCCCACTCAGTCGTCACCTGCACATGGACAGCCCGTCTCATTGCGTTGAAGACGGTCGACGATCAAAGTCTTCATCGTGTCGTGACACTTGGGCATACTGGCGAAGAAGCGATCTTGCTGTTCCTGCGACACCTTGTGGGGGTACACGTGGTACTTGGCCATCAAATATCGCTTCATGACGACGAACTTCTTACCGTCCGCATCTGTGTGGCCAGACAACACGACGCCACTCGAAACATCCTTGCGGATGCGGTTTGACGTGTCGTACGGGTGCAGATCGTCCTGGTCGATGTAATCTGTGGCTAAAACGGCAGAGTTGTCTCCAAATCGGCAATAGAAAATGGCGTTCGACTCCATATCCGGCATCTTCTCGGCATCTGCGCCTTCGTTCTCGCCCTCCCAATTCATACTCGACACAATGCGTTGATGCATGAAGTTACACTTAATCGTATCGAACGATTCGCGGATCGTCGTGCTCCCCATGGCGTTGTTCAGAGCTTCGTCCTTGCCTGCAATCTGTTCGTAGATCGCACGTCCCACCTGGAAGACACTCACGCCGTCGTACTTGGAAATGGCAAAGTTGACGCAGTAGTGCTTGCCGAACTTCTCGAACATGTCCGAGTACTGGTACGGCTGGTTGAAGTCCAGCCCTGCAGCCTTCTGCTCAATGAACTTGTACGTCATGTCCAGTTTCTCCTCTCGTAGTGACAAAATGGTTTTCCTCCGCTCGTTAAAGTCCTTACCCAGACGAATATACGACTCCATCGGGGTCATCAGAGCCATACGCTGTACCCACAACAGCACAAACATAACAGTTAATAACCCAGATAACACGGTTACATGAGCATAACAGCGTAGACGTACCACATCGTTCACAGGAGCGAACGCGAGCATGGCCTTGAAGTTGTCTTGGTAGACTCTTTGTTGTGTAACCAGGTCGTTCAAAAGCTGATTGTTTTCCTGACTCTGAACCAGTTGTTTCGTCTGTTCTGTGTCTCGTGGACGGCGCTGCTTAATGCTCTTCCTCTGCGGACGACTGGAATTGGCGCGAGACTGCAGGAAATCCCTCTGAGCATCCAGATACTTGGCTTCTTTCTCAAGCAAATCCATCTCGTCCTACAGGCAACAGCATTAGCAATCTTTGCAGCACACTTTCAGACATGTCTCACGTACTTCCATGGCTTCTTCCTCCATCTCCTCGTCCTCTTCTTCATGTGTCTCCAAGTACTCCGGCTGGTTCGCACTCTCTTCGGGCATAGACGGCAAAGGTGACGCCGTCACACTGCCGTCTGTCGTGTGGCCTAGCGACGACGTGTCCGACAGCGTTGAATCTGTGTGTGGGGAGTCTCCGAGGGGACATGGGAGGCAACACGTGGCCCATCAGAGCCTCGTGATATTTTTTAGCCGCCTCCTGCTCCTGAGCCAGCAACGGACACTCAACGTCAAACTCGTCCACGTCCGTCTTACATGGAGACCCATCGATTATGCTGGGACACGTGCTGGGCGCGCTCGGACAGGGCGAAGGCAGCATATCCAGGTCCGTGAAGGCGTCCAAGTCGATGGCACCATCACTCTGCTCGAGTGCTGTCTGATTCTTCTGATTCTCGTCCGAGTCTATTTTTACCACTTTCTCCATGTCACGGAGAAATTGCTCGCCGTCCAATAGGAACTCGGCAAATTCGTCCTGAATGATGGTCTCTGCTTCTGGGGATTTCGTGGCGGTGGCAGACGAGCAACCGGCGCCGCCGGAGGCACAGGCTGACGACGCACACGACGTCTTGGAGGCTGCTGCAGCCTCCGCAGTCGAAGTGGAGATACTCACACCCACGGAGCAGTTGGCAAGTAGATCCTCGACGTTCGACGAGGCTGCAGGGGACGCTGGGGTGTCCAGGAAGCTGGTAGAGACGTTGTCGTCGCCGTCCACGAGCTGTAGCATGTCGTACTCGAGCACGAGGTCGTCTGGAAGTCCCGCTGCCATGGCTGTGATTCTGTAGATCTCTATGTGTTACCTGGTGGTCGGGCACTACACTAACAAGGCTGATAGACCGCTCAAGGTCGATTTGATTGCTCGCGCGTTCAACGGGCTTGTCACTTCTTGGTGACTGCGGGCTTTTGTTGGAACAGTGTTCTCGAACGATGGAAGGAGAGTCTAAACAAGGTATGATTGGTGAAAACAAATATTTTTTAGCGAATGAATAAAGAGGTGGAACATTCTCCCGTGTAAGTTGCGGTCCGCCGTTGCACTAAATTGCTTGCTAAAATAAAGAAGCTAAAGCAAATCTTATGATCTAATGATTGGGGAATGGTGATTTCATCGGGAGAAAGAAAACATTAAAATCCCTCATTTGATTGGTTTGAATAAAAAATTAGAATGAATGATTGGTTGAAAACAGAGCAAACGGCGCACAATCTTTCTGATTCTGTCGCCATTATCGGATGCGATTTGAGCCAGTACCCACTGTGTGGTACACGCTAGTGAGACATGATTGACCAGTGCACTTCAGTTCAATAAGTTATTATTTTAATTATTTAAAAATGTAGAAATTAGTCTTGGCTAACCCTCAACGACGACGTCTTATCGGCCTAATATATCTGAGACGATCACAGCACGATCAAGACAACAAGTATTCATAGAATGTGCTTTATAATTAGTGCTTTATGGGATACCCCAGAATCACCACAGATACACGACAGTGGTGGTCACCATTTCCAGCGTTGGAGCATAGAATGACGAGCGGTGTTGGCACGAATATTCACCAGTTCTGGTCATGGTCCATGATTCTGCTCTCGTACTTGATCTCCACAACAGGGAGCTACTGCAGTGAGTACATCCACTTCAATGCTTCGAAAAATGAAAAACAAGACGCTCATCTTGCATAAATCGTTACATCACAGCAATTCAGCTTATGGAGAACTGGCGTCGTGTAGACGATGTTGTGCACAAGCGGATTATGCTGGCGCTCTCTGCTCTTTCCCTGGGTGGGTGTGGGATTTGGTGCACGCACTTCACGGGCATGACAGCGATCAAGCTAGAATTTGAGGACGGAACAGCTCTCGAAATGGACTTCGAATTGGGTCTTACGATCTTGTCCTTCATTTTCGCGGTGCTTGGTGTCCTCATCGGTCTAAAAATTGCGTCTATGGATCCGTACTTCCTTGAAATGGAAGCAGCCAGACGCAAGGAGATGCTGGTAAGAATGTCACTATCGTGATCTCTGCTGTTCGTACGTCTGAACCTCATGCTGCGTAATAACTGGTAGGCTGCCAATCTGAAAAACATGAAAATGTCTGCCGTTGTGAACCGAAGTGCAGTCACCCGCCGCATCAAAGTGAGTCATACCACTCACAAAGTTTATGTGCTCCGGTTTATGCTAGCGCTGACATTGTTCTTGTATTTGCTCAGATTATTGCTCTTTTTTCGCGACTTTGGCTTATTATGCTTGGAGGAGCATTCGCAGCTCTTGGAGTTCTAGGAATGCACTACTTGGGTATGAGGGCACAGCGTACGAACGCCATAATGGAACTGAACGCGGGAATTGTAGTGCTGTCGGTTTTCATCGCTTTCTTCACGGCCAACGCTGCATTTTGGATCATTTTCAGAGCTGTAAGTGATGGTAGAAACGGTCTACTGCGCTGTTCTTTTACTAACATCCCGTCTGTTATAGCTGACTTTTATGCCAGATAGCGAGCTGCTACGACTTGGAAGTGCGTTGATCATGGGCGTCGCAGTTTGTGCAACTCACTATTGTGGTATGGGAGCAGCGTCATACACGCTCAGTGAGGAAAACTTTTCGGATACGACTCGATTTATCATTAATCGCTCCGAAGCTGCGATCGTTGCATCACATGGAGCACTATTGACCTGCTACTGGCTAGCTAGCTTTAGTGTGGTACGCAGTGTACGTATTGCTGAGATGACTGCGACTGCAACGACCATACGAGAAGGTGTATCTCGAACAGACAAGTCAAAGAGTCGAAAGAACAGCAACCAAAGAATTCATGTGGCGCGGTAAAAAAACTGTAGATACCGCGAAGTTAGTGAGTGTATTTTGCTCCCCAATCTAAAAATACAAACTACTTTTAAGTTTCAGTATTAATAAGAGTGGTCGCTTCAAGAAGTCTACAAGTCCCTCGGTACGCACCTGTGAAATAATGCTCGGCGCAGCAATGTCCAGCCACGTGGAAGAGATTTCACAGCACTGGTTGGTGTCCAAGATCTTCTTGTCGTACCTGATTGCTATCACTGGGAGTTTCTGCAGTACGCACATCATTTATTCCAACCTTGGTATTTCTTTTTGGTTCACCCGCTCACTTCACTTGCAGCGATCCAGTTGATGGAGAAATGGCGTAGTGCTATTGACACGAGGGACAAGTTAATACTCATGCTGTTATCGTCGATTGCTTTGGGTGGCTGTGGCATTTGGTGCATGCACTTCACGGGCATGAACGCGCTCGAGCTGACGCGAGATGATGGCTCGGTGCTCACTGTGGACTTCGAGGCTGGTCTGACGATACTTTCGTTCATCTGTGCGGTTGGTGGCGTCTTCGTTGGTCTCAAGATCGCGTCTGCTGACCCCTTCTTCCTTGAACTGGAGCAGGAGAAGCGCAAGAACATTTTGGTAGGTACATACTATTGCGTGGTTCAGAAGGCTTTTATGCTCAATTATTTTATAGGTGAAAGACTTGGCCTCAACTGCTATGGCGGACGTTGTCAACAAGCAGAAAGTTGCCAAGCGCATCAAATTCATCGCCTTGTTCTCGCGTCTCCCCAGAATTGCCGGTGGAGGACTCTTCGCCGCACTTGGCGTTCTCGTCATGCATTATCTGGGTATGATGGCCCAGCGAACGCACGCTGATATGACCTTAACTGCTGGGCTTGTGGTATTGTCTGTGCTCATCGCATTCTTCACGGCGACTGCTGCGTTCTGGATCCTGTTCCGAGCCGTAAGTTGTGTCAACAAAGTACGATACTTGCCAACTAACGCTGTTAATTTTTCAGCTGACATTTTTCCAGGACAGTGAATTGCTTCGATTGGGAAGTGCTCTTACCATGGGCATAGCTGTTTGTGGAACTCATTACTCGGGTATGGGGGCAGCCAGCTACACTTTCAATGCTGAAGGGATGGGAGACGGCGGTCTGGTGATGAAAGGATCCCAAGCAGCTATCCTGGCATCTCATGGTTCATTGCTCTTCTGCTACTGGGTGATGACCTGGAGTGTTGCTTCCAGTGTGCGCAACATCGCTTCGATGACGTCGAACTTGAGCAAGGTTAGCAAGCGGGACCACGGTCCAGGAGGAGCACGCAAGATTGTCGTTGGCAAAGCAAAGGTGGCCGACAGCAATAACCGAGCGAACGAGAACGGCCCCAAGCCCAGCGCACCAGCCCCTGATGTGTCGTTGGCTCGTCAAGAATCCGTTGTCGATATGGATAAATCCTCGATTAGCGAGTTCGTTGAAGTGTAGACTTTGCATTTATCTCAGCAACTTCATACTTTATTTTATCTCGTGCCTTGGTTTCTCTGCTTGCTTTTAAATTGGTTCAAGCTCATGACTTATCTCTGTCAAAACTCTGCTTGGCTGGCGTCAATTCGACAAAGACGCGCGCCATCACCGACTGCCAGTTTTGCAGTCTGCAACGCAAAATGTAGAGTGTATACAGTGGAATTGAATATCGAAAGTGTCGTACGATTCGCACTTGTAGCGGCGACTGATGTCGGTCAAGAGAAACGAGCTGGTGTATTCACTGCAACTAGTGCATAGCCCTCTCGAGGCGAGCGCTCACGAGTATTCAAACACCCCCGAAGCAGTACACCTCCCATTTCAATACCGACAAAGTTGCTAGATAGTCTCCAGCCCGACGGCATGCGTCAATGGCAAATTCGAAACCACAAGAGAACGTGTTTGAAAACTGATGCCGAAAACTGAAGTTGAGGCTGCGCATAATCACCAAATCAAATTTAAACGTTACCGGTACAGTACTCAAAATTGGTCCATAAAACGACAAGCAAATGATATTTAAAGTTTGCAGTGCTTCAGTTCAACGCCACGTACCCAATCAGTACACGTAGCAACAATACAGCGATTTGAATGTCGCCAAATCTTCATTCTAGAGCACAAGACGTACGACAACTACTCAAGCATCATGACAGCCGACCTCGTCATGTCCGGAGACTGCGGCGGCACCAACACGCGTCTGTCGCTGTGGAACATCCCTAAGGACACCAACACGCGTCTGTCGCTGTGGAACATCCCTAAGGACTCCAAGCACATCAAGGGTGACATCGCCCCAGGCTCGATGCTCTTCTCCAAGAAATACTTGAACGAAGACTATGCCAGCTTCGCCGAGGTGTGTCATCTGTTCCTAAACGAGGCCAAGCTCGTGGACCAGATCCCCGAAGCCTGCGTACTCGCTTGCGCTGGCCCAATCCTGAAAAACACGGTAGACTTCACCAATGTAGCGTTTGGTTGGAAGATCGACGGTCCAGGTCTGGAGAAGGAATTGGGCATCAAGAAGGTGCGACTGATCAACGACTTTGCTGCCATGGGCTACGGTCTGCTGACCCTGCGTCCTCATGAGTATATCGTCCTTAACGACGTCCCTAAAGATGAGACGGCTCCTATGGCTACCATTGGAGCTGGTACTGGTCTTGGGGAGTGCTTCTTGACCCCCGGTATGGACGGTCAGTACTCGTGCTTCGCCTGTGAAGGTGGCCACACTGACTTCGCCCCCGCGGATGAGATTGAGATCGAACTGTACAATGAGATCAAGGCCAAACTGGGTTGCAGTTAGCGTTTCTCGGTGGAGCGTATTGTGTCTGGTCCTGGTCTGGCGACGATCTACGAGTTCTTGGCCAAGAAGTTCCCTGAGAAGGTGGACCCGAAGGTGCACGAGGAATTCCTCAAGGCCAACACGCAACAGGGCAAGGTGATTGGCGAGAACGCCAAGACGAACGAGCTATGCAACCGAACTCTGGAGATCTTCGTGGGTGCGTACGGCCGTGAGGCTGGCAACGCGATGCTGAAGTATTTGCCTCGTGGTGGCTTCTACATCACTGGTGGACTTGCTCCTAAGAACCTGGACTACTTCACCAAGAAGGACATTTTTCTCAACTCTGTGTTCGACAAGGGCCGTGTGAGTCCTGCCATTAAGGCTTGCCCGATCTACCTTGTTCTAAATGAGGACCTGGGCGAACGTGGGGCCCATTATTACGCGTACCAGCTGCTGAAAGAGGCGCAGTGATCTAGATTTGTTGCAGTGACGACCTTTGTGGGTGTTTTGTGGTGACTGATAAGATTCGTCAAAAACGTTTTTGATAACTTTTAGGTTCAGTCTTGTTGCAATAATGTGTCGCTACTACATATTGCAGGGCCTCGCTCATTCGCTACTACGGCATGTACCGGTATCTACCTACAACACGTTGTAGAAGCACAAATAGTAGGCGAAGAAGTGCGTGTAGCAAAAACCCAGCAAAAACGAGATAGAAACGATAGAAATGCATTTTTTTGCCCATTTTGTCACCGAACTTGAAGTTGTCTAAGAATTAGAAATCAACTCAATTCCCAAAGTTACGCGATCCAAATACACAAGATACACCTGCTAACCCGCGATTTGAAAGATAGACAAATACCTCGCATTCTTAAATCAACGTCCGAGGGAGCAAGCAGATAACCTCTCACCTTACGCCACAGCAAACATGGCTCCGTACGCTTGCCCAAAATGTCTTAACGCTGTTACACCCGTTCTAATCCTTATTGTCGCGAATTTCTAGCTGGCTTGGATGCTGCTCCGATGAATCAACGACCAATGTTGTCGCAGTCCCTGCTGTGACTGCTGCACCCACCTACGACTTAATCATGTCGGGCGACTGCGGTGGCACCAATACTCGCCTGGCGCTGTGGAACATCCCCAAGAGCTCAGTGTATACAAAGGGCGACATCGCTCCGGGCGAGATGTTGTTCTCCAAGAAATATCTGAACGAAGAGCACGGAAGCTTCAACGAGGTATGTCACCTCTTTTTAAACGAAGCCAAACTCGTGGACGAGGTGCCTGCTGCGTGCGTATTAGCCTGCGCCGGTCCCATCCTTAGCAACACGGTGGACTTCACCAATGTGGAGTCAGGCTGGAAGATCGACGGTACTAGTCTCGAAAAAATACTCGGAATTAGGACCGTGCGTCTGATCAACGACTTTGCTGCCATGGGCTACGGTCTGCTGACCCTGCGTCCTCATGAGTATATCGTCCTTAACGACGTCCCTAAAGATGAGACGGCTCCTATGGCTACCATTGGAGCTGGTACCGGTCTTGGCGAATGCTTCTTGACTCCTGGTAACGACGGTCAGTACTCGTGCTTCGCCTGTGAAGGTGGCCACACTGACTTCGCCCCCGCGGATGAGATCGAGATCGAACTGTACAATGAGATCAAGGCCAAACTGGGTTGCAGTCAGCGTTTCTCGGTGGAGCGTATTGTGTCTGGTCCTGGTCTGGCGACGATCTACGAGTTCTTGGCCAAGAAGTTCCCTGAGAAGGTGGACCCGAAGGTGCACGAGGAATTCCTCCAGGCCAACACGCAACAGGGCAAGGTGATTGGCGAGAACGCCAAGACGAACGAGCTGTGCAACCAGACTCTGGAGATCTTCGTGGGTGCGTACGGCCGTGAGGCTGGCAACGCGATGCTGAAGTATTTGCCTCGTGGTGGCTTCTACATCACTGGTGGACTTGCTCCTAAGAACCTGGACTACTTCACCAAGAAGGACATTTTTCTCAACTCTGTGTTCGACAAGGGCCGTGTGAGTCCTGCTCTTAAGGCATGCCCAATCTACCTGGTGCTTACCGAGGACCTGGGCGAGCGTGGTGCTCACTTCTTCGCCTATCAGCTACTAGGCCAGTGCGAATAATGGGTGACGATCACTCCTCTAACTTGCAAATTGGACACGTCTCTGCTTTTCATCACATTTTAATGCTCGACTCCCCTAATAGCGACAAGTCTAATGCTAGAATAAATAGTACTATTTGACACCCATATTATCCCTTTCGTGAACGCGAGGGTTTGCTTTAAATAAAGTATACTATACAACTCAAGATGTTAAGAGATCAAAGGATGCAATTTGCATAAGTAACGGTCATATAGCTATCGCCTTCCATATGATTTTCTATTCCAAAACAAGGTAGGGTGACCATCAAGTGGGGCAAATTGACCCTTTTCATAAGTCACTGTACTTGCTAGAGCATTTTTTGTATTGGTCAAAATAACGACTTTCTGTGAAAAAGATGGTGACTGCTGACGCACTTCAATGTGATTGGGTAATAATCACAAGCGGAGGTTATAGACCGATCTTTCAATCCCACTCTAAAACCATGTGTATCGGGTGTGGGAGCGTAGCCAGTGATCTTGTGCATGATCAGAGTCGCAAAACTCACAGCTACGTGTAGCAAACGCAGCACAGTAGGTTTGACCAAACGTACAGTAGTAAGTACGACAAGCGGCATCGAAAACGGAACAGTGAGTGTCCTAAAAAATTTGTATCAGAAAGAATGTAGCATCTGCCTTGCGTTTTGTATGCTAATGTAGTGTACATTTGTCTTGATTTTACTATGCAAAATCTAAAACTGCAAAAACATATGGGCAGCAGAAACCGATCAAATCAGGAACGGGATCAACAGACACAAAAGGTATAGTCGACCTCTTCAAATAGATGGCATATGAGGACCGCTGGTGGATCGCTGTACAACAGAGCTGCACCCGTCGAGAAGACTCCGATCCTGATGGCAGTGAGCCGCCAGAACACAAGCAACCGACAGCAGGAATGAAGCGTCACGCATACAGCCACGGCCACAGGAACAACTGCAATCGTCCACAACTCCGCCGGCAGTGAGCTCGATAATAGAAGCGTGCCCGCCATGCAAGTAGCTGTTTTCAACGCAGATATTCCTGTAGACCAGAGTGTAGCTGGACCCGAGAATGCTGCACGCCTAGACGTTTCATCTGGGCAAGCGGCAGATACTGACTCAGCGACTAACGACAACGAGCCTACCACCTCAGGCGCTCAAGTGCACGCCGTCTTAGCAGATCGTCGTTCAACTGGTGAGAAGGTTCATCACGACTGGGGGAGCGTGGAAGGCCTAAGGGGTCTAAGAACAAGCCTAAGACCAGCGAAACAACCATCGACGAACCCAAGCCAAAACGTGGTCGTCCGAAGGGAAGCAAGAACAAACCTAGACGAAGTTTAGACACAGCCCTGCACGAGGCTACCCACTCAGAGCTACCTGTATGCGACGTAGTTGTTGCAGAACCGCCGTGCGATGAACTCCCTCCGCCCGTGTCATCACTCGCCCCAACGGCACCTACCGTGGCAGCACAAACTAGTGAGATGTTGTCTGCTACGACTCCTGCTGGTACTAGCGTACCGACATCAAATGTGTCCGTTGGTGAGAGCCAAGCAGCCTCGACGCCATCGCCTGCTCAGCGATCGAGGCGGAGTTCCTCAGCGCAATCACTGTCGATAGCCGCGTTGTATGTGGACACGTTGGTGGCGTTCTCACCCGCTAAGGAAGGTTGGATAACATCGAAGAAGTATGTTGGTGTCGGCAATGCGTACATCATCGGCAGGGTCTGCCGGATAGTAAAGGGGTTGTACCAGGTGCGGTGGCTGGACTCGCAGTTTCAGTCACATGTCCAGAATCTAACACTGAATATGTTTCAGCGTGGAAACACAAACTACACCTCATTACATGGTCAAACAGCAGGACCTGGATGGGGGAGCCTTTGTGCAGTAGATCCAGAAGAACGCGTTCAAACTCAATGCCCAGCTGACGGACTTGAGGTGTGCATGGAGTATATGAGTCGTACGAGCCGCCTGAAATTCGTCCAAGTAATTTCGCGGACGTTAAAACCATAAAGAACTTTCGCTTCGATCCAGAGAGTCAAAAAATGGAGCAGCCAAGTGATCTTTACTCTCACGGAGACGCGACAACAAAAACACGCCTTCGCCCCGAGTTTCGCCACATTTTCGAGCACTCAGCGTCTTCAAGTTTCTTCGCTTACATTCCTGTCTCCTTCTGGCAGCAAGTGGTTGGCGAAATGAACACTAATGCTCGCCTAAAGAAAATGTCGATTGGGAAGCCCTTCGCTCTACAAAAGATCATGACCTTCCTGGGGATTCTGTTTTATATGGCGCTTGTTTACAAGGGCGAGTACAGCAACTATTGGGGAACGCAGGTCGAGGATTTTATATTTGGTGGAAGCTCAGTCGGACTTGAGAGCGTAATGCCGCTCCGCCGCTTCAAGCAGCTTCGTCAGGCGTTCACGTTCCAGTGTGTGTCTCCCAGTCAGGACAGCGAGGGCCAGGCCGCGCGTATTCGTCCTCTGCTCAACTTGCTCAAGGCATTAGGTTCAAAGTACGTGGAAGTTGGTAGAAATGTGGCTCTTGACGAAGCTAGCGTTGCCTGCCGTTCCAAGTATGGCAAACCTCTCATCGTCTACAACACCATGAAGCCCGTGGGCAAATACCATTTCCGTATCTACATGCTGTGCTGTTCTACGTCATGGATATCGCTAAACTTTCGCTTGCATTGTCAAAGCAGCCTGACTGAGCGTCTCGCTGGTGTAACGACGCCGGAGGTGGCACGGGCGTTGTCAGAAGAGCTTTCAGCATCATCGGTCATTCGTCAGTGCGTGTTGGAGGTGGCTCGACCAATTTATGGTACGCGACGTATAGTGAACTCTGACAATTACTACACCTCTGTCCAGCTTCTTGAGGCACTACGCTTGAAAGGCCTTTATGCGAGAGGAACAGTCCGCAAGTCAAGCGCTCATTTCCCACGTCACGTGTTGATCGAAAAGAAAGAATGTAGCCGAGGAACATCACGACAAGCGGTTTCCAGCGCACACAACATTGTAGCAGCCTCCTGGTTCGACAGCGCGATCGTTAGTGTAGTTTCAAATGCAGATGCATCTACACTAACAACCGTAGAGCGCCAGGTCAAAGCCGAAAAACGCACCTTCAGTGCTCCAACTTGTGTTCGAGAGTATAACAGTCACATGCAAGGTGTAGATCGCCTCGATCAGATACGAGGGCGGTTTTCGGTTGCGGATGGTCACTCGTTTAAGAAATGGTACAAGAAGCTAGGACTAGCGCTGGTTGATGTCGCCCGAGCAAACGCGTTTCTCACTAGGAAGCTCGCAGTCAACATGGACGCAGATCGAGATCCCCACCGCGACTTCATGGTTGAACTCATATCAGAGTTATTCTCAGGAAAGTGGAAGGAAGCCCCTAGTGAACGCGTCATGCTGTTTACTGAATCCGCACCTGCAGACACTACAACGCCGTTGCCACCGGTCAGTGCCGTCTGGATGGCCGGAAGTACCGGAGTCGATGGTGTCCGTGGCAGCCCGCAGAACCGCTGCTCTGCTGTCTATTCAAAGCAGCTATTCAAGGAAATGAGCCGCAAGAGGCGTCAATGTGTGGTGTGCAGATGGGAGGACCGCTACGCGACTGATGTTACTGATCACTGCGTCTTACACGGAGTTAGCCTCTGTCAGGTCGTTCACACGGCGACTCCGCAGCCTTATATGTGCCCGTACGTCGCGTGGACATGCTGGGAAAAGTATCACCGATATTATCTACCTCGAAAGCTCTTCTCAAGTAAAGGAAAGGTGCGTACAAGCTCCGAGCTGTACAAACTGAAGCAAAGTGGCGCTGTTGAAGCCGGTCATCCTGTCTTATCACTAAATGTTTAGACAGCATGTCGCTTGATATTTCTATGGTAATTGTGGGTGCGTTTATCTTTCATTTAGTAGGGACACACGCTGCGTAAGTATCTCAATTAAAGTATGATAAGGATGTGTGCGTTTGTCTTGATTAAAGTATGCAAATCACGTGTGTATATTTCTTGACTTTACTATAGAAATATAAAACTTCAAGTTCAAGCACTTCAAATTGAATCGCAGCTACTTACTCGTTGTGTTTTGACTTGTAAATAAAGACGTGCTGGCTTACAGCTTTCCAGCTGCAAGGGACGTCAAGAACCTTCAGCAGCTCGAGCGCGTAACAAAACCTGAAGACGCATGGAGGTCGGTGGTGTGGGCAGAGGTTTACACAGCTCAAAAGAAAGCGAATATCCACCATTTGACGTAGCTGTTCCTTCACGTGCTCGACAACTGGCGGCTGAAACAGCACATTATTCCAATAGACAACGGTTGCTTCGGCAAAGGGCGAATCCGACGACAGGCGAATGTCCTCGACGGGTTTGCATACAAACACCGCTCTCTCTCGTAAGACCCACGCATATGGGCTACCATTGATAGCGTCGATGCCAGCTCGTTGAACGGACTCTTGAATTTCAACGCCAATTGCGCGTTAAATGTCTGTGGCGAGGACCACTTGGGCGACGACATTTCCGAGACCAGAGCCAATGTCCATGAATATATCCCGGCTGTCCATGTCACCAACTTCGCGCAATAGCATTGTGATTCCTACAGGCATTACTTCTCCCACGTTCTTGTATATCGCGTTGCCATCGTAGTTACGAACCAATTTGCTCGGAACACCAGCGAAAACACTGGTGACTACTTGCTCCAATGCCGAAGGCGAACGAGGTGGTGTCAGTGGGTCCGGTCTCGTACTCTGCGTAGTCTCTGAGCTGGATTTTGACTGTGTAATGTATGTGTTCATCGCCGATGAGATGCTCTCAGCGCTTGGTGAAGGCTGTACTGAACTCGTGCTGGCCGTGGGTGAACTGAGGCGCTGTGAGACTTCTGTATTGGGCGGAGATAGTGCTTTGTCTGCGCTAATTGCGCGCTGAGCGGTATTCACATTTGGTAGTGATGGTGAGGCGTCCGTGCTGAGGTCGGGATGCGGATCCGATGTACTGGTTAGGGACGATGAAGTATTCGTGCGAACCACGAGCCGCGTACCTCGAGCTATACGCGGTGGCGCAGGCGCTGTGGGTATCTTCCAGCGTGCAGCAGCAGCAACGGCGCGTAACTGCCGCGTGATGGCTGGAGGTCGTCCTCGCGGCATTATAATCTCTGCAAAGAAGCTGGGAGGGAAGTCTGCAAGCCGGCTACCATACGTTCTTCGCAGCGATCTTAGACGCTGCTTCAGCGCTGCCGTGGTGTGATTCGTGTGGCGCATGCGGTGCGCAACATCGCGCCAGACTATCCGTTTTCCTGCTTCTTCGTACGCTCTTGATGTTTGCACTAGCTGTTTGTCGTCGTTGAAGGAGAAAGTAGTCTGGACCATGTTGAATAATTACGAGTGAGCAAGTGTGGTAAGTTTAGTATTGAATCAATGTAGCCAAACAACTTACTCAAACTATAATATTCGTTGGTTGTCATCCAGTCGATGTTGCAAGTTGCGTAGTACGTCCATATTCCAGAAACGAGCCGACGTGACCTTTTTGATTGGTAGTAATAAAACAAGGTAGATAGCAACTTGAACTTCTGTCAACAGGCGCAATTTGACCCCTTTCATGAGGGTATTACTCGCAGGTTTTGGAAACACCATGAAAGGGGTCAAATTGCCCCTGTTGAGCACGAAAGGGTTATAATACTTAGATGGGCATTTCCTCATCAATTTAAAAACTGCCACAATTCTCTTCAGCACGTCGAATGAATTGTTGTTCACACACTGTACCAGAGCCTTACTTCTTCACATACAGTACTGCACCCCGTTTTCGCGCCCCTGGACCTTTGATAAACTTCCGGATGTGATGATCCTGAGTCCAAATGAGCTATTGTTTGTATGCTAAACTCGAATTTATTTGCAAATCCTATATGGTCCACCCCCGCGAAAACGGTTGCAGCACTGTACTCCAGTGACTGACTGAACATCACTTTTTTTTTACTGTAGGATAAGTCCCTTCGTTTCACGTCTCATTCTCTGAGGCGTAACGTCGAGAATACTATAGTTTCATCCGTTTCGCGGGGAGGCGCGCTGCTTAGTTTAACACACGCAATTTTTTTGTTTATTACTGGTATTGTACTACTGACTCTGTCGGAACTCTAATACATAGCACACGCAAATTTTACTAGTTTACTTCATCCGACGACATGCTCATTGCTGTCTGTAGAATCTTGGGGAACGTAGCATGCGCCGTCATACGCACCGTCTGTTCGCAAGTAGTGCTGCACATATACTTCAGGCCCGTCAGGTTAAATGGGGCCATGTCGTTAACGCATGACCTGTCTAGACGACTTAATTCGCCTCCATTACGTCAATGTACGTCAGTACGAACGCATGCAGCGGACCGAGGACCTGCGTACCAAGCGATTACTTATTTGTCGATGAGGCATTAGACAGACCTGCGGCTTAACGAGCCACTCTCTAATCATGCCGCTTGGACTTTTCGCCGCGGTGAGCGCGATCTCGCGCATCAGGATCTGGTAGTAGCCGTCCACAAGATCCAGCGCTCTACAGCACACAGCCGGTCATGTTGTTCAGCAACACATCCCTTCGCGAATTTGGCTTCTAGGCCGGCATCGTCGCGTTGTTCAGCTTGGTATAAGCGCGGAACAGACGTCACTTCCCGTTCGGCTTCCGAACGCAGAAGGTCGGCGTTGAGTGCGCGGACGTTGATTCTCGCACGGTGCCTACCTTCGTCTTCGCAGCGAAGAAGGCATCAAATGACCTCGCACTGCTCGCGAGGAGATGTCGCTGTCTTGTGATACAGTACATCGCTCCAGACACAAGGTCAACCTCGTGCCGTACTCTTCGACCCGGTGGGAGTTGGGTCGGTGGATTATTCGTCACCACGTCCGCATTCTCTGCCATCAAAGAAACCAAGCACGATCGGCGCTGCTGGCTCAACTTCTCTAGGACACCCTCGTCCAAACATAGGAGGATTTCTACTCTTTCTGAGTGGCCTTTTGTTTGAAGAGTACCATCTCAGCTATCGCTCCAGTCTTGAGGTTGACCAAAAAGTCTCCACCGGCATTTCCTCGAGGGTCAATCCGCAGCGACTCCAAGTGGATGCCGGATGCCTTGACGGGTAATCCGATCTCGCCATCTAAGATGTGATACACTTTTCCACCGACCGCGTCGACAGAGCCCGAGCCCTTCACTCCGATTCGGTTGAAGCGCCGTCGGTCTAAACAAGGTTCAGATTTGACTTGCGGTAGGGGCGGCGTCATTGACGGCGACCGCGACGCGCAAATTTGCTACCCACGCCGTGTGATATCTTGATAGCGACATCTGAGGCACTTATGACCTCATGTGGAGCTGTGTTACCCACACGGGAAGCGCACTCTGCGTCTTCCACTTCAGTTAAGGTCTGAGCGCCAGCGTGTGGCACTGTGTTATCCACACAGAAAGCAATGCCAATGCCGTCCTCTTTAGCTAAGATCTGGACGGCCGTTTGTGGAGCTATGTTACATACCTATAGCTCGCTAATACCAGCATTTTTGATAGCTACAGCTGTCTGCGGTATTAAGCTACCCGCTTGCGGATCTAAGTTACCCACTTGGCCGGCGTCTCTCGGCGCCGCCATCTTCGATTTCTCTGATGAGCCGTCATATGCGTCAACAACCCCGAACGTCTGCTCCTGCTTTTCTCGCAAATTGATCAAGCTTGGTGTCGAAGTAGTGTTTTAGGAACTCGTACATCGTGAGCACTGGTAGCAAGACATCGTACTAAATTGAAAAAGAAAATTATGATTAACTCCTATCTACGGAATATAACTAGAAACGAACTGAGGCCGATGCGTATGAGGGCGGTGCGTGGGCACGTATAAGGACGATGTGAGTGTGTGTGTCTGGGGGGGGGGGGACTGAATAGACCTACATCCCCCCAAAAACAGACCCCCCCCCTCGCTTACTGCGCTACCTACAAGCACATGGTTAGCTTCACTCGCCTCGCCCCGCAAGACGCAAGATACCCCAATATCACTGTCCCTCCAGCGCAAGAGCCAAGCTGAAAGTTCATTGCCACGAGCCCGTAGTTCAGTGACGACGCCAATCACAAGTTGCTACCCATGACTGCGGAGCGTTACACAAAGGTCGTAAGCTTCTCGTGAAAGAACATCGACTTTGAGCACTGTCAATGCTGGACATACACATGGCCCAAGCTGCAGTACGCTACGTATACTACCTCGCCATCCGCAAGAATGATGGACAGAGAACCAGATGGGAGAATGCGAGTAGACGCGTGACGCGGCTTTTAAGCGATCCCAACCCACTTTTACTTGTGTGTGAAGCACCTTCTGGGCCTCTGACGAAGTACAGTTTCCCTCGCGCCCTCAAATAAGGAATAGCATGTCTGTTAGATAACTCGCATATCGCGCATTCACTCGTCAGTGTAAGTGCATGCTCGAATGCGACGCGAGTCGCGTATGAGCACTGTTGCCCGTTATGTAATGGCGCTCGCTTACAGAATTTGAAGTTATACTGGGAGATAGGTAGCGTAAACTAGCTATTGGAAACCCAATCAGGATTGTTTTGTCGTCAGCGGAGTCAGCTCGCAACGAGGTAGTTCAAGATGCATATCAGGCCATGGAAGAAGACACACTCGATAATATATTCCTGACACTTCAAAAATGCATGGAGTGCATTCTGAGGACGAACGATAGTCACGACTACAAATTGCCACACATTGGTTTAGAGAAGCTTAGGCGTGAAGGTAAACTCCATACGAGTTTTGTATGTGATGCAGATACTGAGACCGCTCTTGCTCGAGTGATTACGTCAAGTACTATTTAAATAAATTTCCCGTTTAAACTATTAATGCCGCTTGTATCACATTTGCACACAACATCAAACTGACCCACTGTCATATGTCATTCTTGTGATCATTCTCGGACAGAGGAAGTTTATCAGACTTTAATATAATGTAATCAATACTACGACTTGAATGTTTCTCGTGTTGACCCCTCATTTCTTTGTGTATCCCGACAGTAATGCAACTTGACATCATGAATGGAAAGATGCTCATCAAACGTTAAATTATAGCAGCCAATCGTACCTCCCTCTGTGTGTTTACCCAACTGCGGCTTGGTACTGATTAGCAATCTCCCCTTGAAATAATGCTCAGAACACCATGATGTGGACTACATGTTTATGTTAGTTTAACGCCTCGATGCTATATACAGATGTTCGTAGCTTGGAGGGACGCGAACAGACCCAAATCCAATACACTTGTATATGGAGAGCTGGCTGGGTGATAAAAAAGCCGGATGTTTCACCCGTCAGCAGTGCCAGCGGCTAAGATATCAGGATCGGCTGGATTAATATGGGGCTTCGCGTTATCTTGCTGAATAAGAATGACGTGGTGTCTCTCACGCGGCCACTTTAACTTCATAGCCGGTATCAGAAGGGTTAACAGGTATCTTTTGTAAGCTTCACGGGTGTTTAAATCAATTCTTTTCGTGCATTCCGCCCCCTTGCGCGCTACTTGCTTCTTCGAAGTGTTTTGTATTGTTCAGGTAGTGATCACAGCTCAATTTTACCATCCCGTTTACGTTTTGTATGTAGATCCCAGCTGTTTATAATCAATATTAGCTGTAACTCAGTTTAAATTTTAGCGATTACAGCTTTAAAGAGTACTCACCGTGGGCGTGCTACAGCATGAAGGAACATGGTCTTCGGGATGAAGTTCTTACTCTAGTGGCTCATCATGGTATAAGATTTGTCCACAAATAGCTAGCACGTTCGCTTGTTGATATCCTCGTAGAATCATTTTTCATCGACGAAAACTTCGTTGAACAAGGTTTCGTGCTCAAAGCCGTCCAGGGTTGATGTTTGCCACTCCATGCTCCATGCGACAAAATTTGTTTTCTTCTGTGAGAATAGGTCTCATGCGTGTCTTGTACATTTTCAAAACCCCTTCACGAATCACTGCGCTCACACAGTGCTTGGAGATGTCTGTGGTGGTCGCAATATGTCATATAGGCGTTCCTTCTCCCACATGACTGCTCTGATATGTGCAGCGATTGTGTCTTGGTCCTTCTTTACCCTGCCCGAGTTTTTTCCTTGATACGACTCCTCCACTCTCCAACGCTGTCTCAACAAAACGCAGCCACAGACGGTTAATAGAGGCGTCGGAACAGCAAACGCCTCTTGTAGTGGGCGGCTTGTACACCACGAGGCACCACGCCGTCTACTTATCTTCATGAGCTCGTCGACGATTTGGCGCCGCTTGGACATCAGTTAAATTTTCTTTGGAGATCCTTTAGAGCCCTTGGAGCTTATCTGCACGCGTGAAAAAATTGGTAAGTAAAGGCAACGTGCTTATCCGGTCGCTGTGACTGC